ACTCGATTTAATTCCATTTGTCTAATAAGGTACAGAACAGTAGGACATAAAACTCGATTTAATTCCATTAGTCTAGTAAGGTACAGAACAGTAGGACATAAAACTCAATTTAATTCCATTAGTCTAATAAGGTATAGAACAGTAGGACATAAAACTCGATTTAATTCCATTAGTCTAGTAAGGTACAAAACAGTAGGACATAAAACTCAATTTAATTCCATTAGTCTAATAAGGTATACAACAGTAGGACATAAAACTCGATTTAATTCCATTAGTCTAATAAGGTATAGAACAGTAGGACATAAAACTCGATTTAATTCCATTAGTCTAGTAAGGTACAGAACAGTAGGACATAAAACTCGATTTAATTCCATAAGCTCAATAAGGGACAGAGTATAAGGCTATATGATTTCAATAGCACAATAACTAACGGAACAGCAGGACGTAAAAGTCCATTTGAGACTATTACAGTATTAAGTTTAAGCCAGAAACTATATATGATCATTTAGGTTCTAAATAAGAGATATCGAATAAGATATCTACCCAGAGCAAGATTTAAAACAAAAACGAAAATGATTTTATCTGAAAACCTTATCGGCAGTAACCGGAGTATCGTCAACTTAATAAAGAGACGAAGACTTTTAATTTTGATCTGTTCTATAACTTATGGCAGGTCTTCTAAATACTAACATCTCGAAACCTCTCATTTTGAGAGAGGGGATCTTGGAATCGTAGGAAAGAGATTGTGAAGACGCTTTCTAAAATTTTTTATGTGTATCAAGAACACTGATAGCATCAAATTGCATCATTCGAATTTTCAATCAGACGTCTGTGTTTCCTGCAATTTCACAAAAACTAAATATGGAAGCCGGCTGCGGCCATATCTACTCTCGACTTCTCGCCCGCGAGGAAAAAGGCGAGGATGAAAAAGGCGAGAAAGCGAGGAAAAAGGCGAGAAAGCGAGGAAAGGGGCGAGAAAGCGAGGAAAAAGGCGAGAAAGCGATGAAAAAAGCGAGGAAAAAGGCGAGGAAAAGGGTGAGGAAAAAGGCGAAGAAAAAGGCGAGGAAACGAGGGTAAAAAAAGGGCGAGGAAAAAGGAGAGAAAGAGAGAGTAAAAAAGGCGAGAAAGCGAGGAAAATGCGAGAAAGCGAGCTCGCCTTTTTCCTTGCTTTCTCCCCCTTTTCCTCGCCTTTTTTTACCCTCGCTTTCTCAACTTTTCCCTCGTTTTGTCGTCTCTCGACTTCTCCTGTGTGAGAATTCTTGAAGAATTCAGTCAAAACGCTTTGAGTACTTTAGCGCCTTTGGCTTTGAAGAGTCTCCAAAGTTCAACAACTCTTGTTTAGTTTCTTGAGAAGCTTATTAATTAGCACCTACTACAAGGCTATTTTTATCAACGTGGCCTTAGGTAAACGACAAAGATGTTTGTCAACATAGCTCTACAATAAAGAAAATCACGTTCGTATATAAAAACTCTTGTGATGTTAGTTGAAGTACATACGCTGTGAGTGTATTCAAGGCTATATACTAGAGTTGCGTTTATGTACTTTAGTTTTATAGGTCTATGAATGCACTTTCCTGGTAAAATATCCCTCATTGCACACGCATTTATTTGAAGCGAATGAAAAAATGTAAAGACGTTGCTAAAGAAATGTGTTAAAGGGACAGATTCGCCATCTGTTGGTTTTTTGTAGCAAAGCTAACCAGTAATAGAGTTCACAGTTCATCGTCTAGAATCATCCGTGTTAGAAAGTGAAAAAGACGACTCGTCTTTTTTGAGACTCTGTCATGTATAGAAAAGACATAAATAGAAATAGGAAATTAAATTTCTATTTCCATGTGTACTTTTGCGTCAGTCCACGTGAGGTGACCACTCTGACTAATCTGATTAAGATACGGTCTGTATTTCGTCGTGTTATATATCTGATACGTATCATATATTTATTATAAATCTTCAGACATTTGATACATTGATAAGTTCAGATTAAGAAGACAAATTAACTCAAAATAGAGCTGATTTAAAGGGATTGTAAAGAGGTTTTCTAAAAAAATTTTTAGGTATATCGGGGACAATGATAGCATCAATTTGCACTATTCCTATTTTCAATCAGACATCTGTGGTTCCTGATATTCCACTAAAACTAAGTGTTTCATGACGACATTAGTTGCTCAATAATATGCTTTATCGACCTTTGCAAATAGTGACGTCCTCAAACATTTAGTTTTAGTGGAATTGCAGAAACCACAGACGTCTGATTTATAATTGGAATGGTGTAAATTGATGCTGTCATTGTCCTTAATACACATAGAAAACCTTTTTACAATCCCTTTAATTAGAAAAAATTGCCATTTTGACATTGTTGTACAGAAATAAGGGTAAATAATATAGCCGACACACACTCATGGATAAGTTTCATTATAACATGTTTGGGGAGTTTTTACTATGGATGACCTAGAGCTAGAGGGGGTTGACGGTTAATTAGCTTAGATCTGATCTCAAATACAGTCATGTTCCATTATCACGCAGCTAATGGCGGCGCCAGCCTTCCGAGACTGGGGGTACACATAAGGGACAGACTGACTCAATGGGGGGATAACTGTCGGCAACTCTGTGGGGGCATTTTGTCGCAAACCTCTCATGAGAGGGTTCTCCCAAGAAATTGTTTGAAAAATGGAATTGCTATGGTTTATTGACACATATTTGGGGGGAAAAACGCATAAAAATCACATTTTGAAATTTGTTAAAAATAAAAGTGGGGGTACAATAATTGGGATTGCAAACCACTTTTCTAGGGGCAAATGCAACCCTTCCCACTCCCATATATCCCCACTGCCACCGCCACTGCACCCAGCTATTGTGGTTTCAAATGGCCGTAATGATTTGAGGTAAGTAAGTAGGTAGGTAGATGACAAGTTAACGTTTGCTTCCAGCGGATGCTGATATCACAAACAAGGTAGTTGTTGGTAGATGACAAGTTAACGTTTGCTTCCGGCGGATGCTGATATCACAAACTATGTAGTTGATGGTAGTGGTAGTAGTTGGTAGTTGGATTGGTTCAAATTGGATGATTCTGTGTTGTGGGTATGGTTGTTGATTCTTCGTTAGATCTGGTCGGGTCGAATGACATGGCGGTGAAACTCGGCCCTGGATGGTGTGGCGTGAGTTACTCGATCTCCTTCATTCTTCCAAACTCATTCTGATCATGGTATTTCTTGTTGATTGGTAGTCGAATGGTAGTCGGTTGGTTTGGTTTGGTTTGGTTTGGTTTGGTTAGATTATCTGTTATCTGTTGGAAAACTAGAAGACCTGAAAAAAAGAGAAAAAAAAGTGAGAAAAGAGGGAAGAAAAAAAATAGGGAAATAGGGAAAAGCTTTCAACAAAAGGGGGGAAGATGTTCTCTGCTGTTTCTACAATGAAACTTGTTAAATTGATTGGATATAATTAAAAAGCGTTAAGAAACTTTGAGTAATGATTTGATTGGTGTGTTTATTTATATAACAGCCTATAGGACTATTCATGCCACCATTCCACAATTCTCAATCCAATGTGACAGACAGTGGAATCATTGGTTGACTGTTTGCCATTGTAGTTTCAATAAACTAGCGCTTGGATGACGTGTTCTAAATCTCTCATAGCCTCTCCAATTATTCTCGTCACTTTCCGTAACGCTTAAAGATATACTACCTCTTAGAGTGGACATCAAGTCTCAAACTTGGTCAATAAGTATATATATTCATCAGTTAGACTTACCAGATACCATGACTAAAGCATAGAATCTCTATATAACACGATATACGTTCTGTCATATAGTTATTTTTTAACTTCTTTTGGATATACCAAACATCACTAATCGAGGCTGCTGGTAAATCTGCCACAGAATTACGCACTATATACCCGGTAAATCAGCCGTTACTGTCCTTATGCAATATAACAAATTTCGCGATTAATGACGTCATCAAACACAAGTTTTTGTGGAATTGCAGGAACCACAGAAAATTGGAATGGTGTAAATTCACGATATCAGTGTCCCTGATACAGATACTAAATTTAGGAAACCTTTTTACAATCCCATTAAGCTTTTGTGATTCCAATAAAGCGAAGTTTTGATTGACATGTTTCTATCTGCTAAAATGACCGCTTGATGAGACTGGAGTGGACAGTTAATTATTGTCGCTTGACTGATTTCTATAATAATACAACGTGATAACACTTAATACTGCAATGTATAATGATTGATGTAAAATCAATAGTTTTTCAGTGACAATCCAACGAATTGCTTGTACTAAGGCGTTCAATGCGGGAGGGATTTGTAAAATATAATTTGTAGCATAACGTATTGACGTCATCGAAATTTCCGGTGGGTCGAGATAATACCTTCGGATTTTCACCCGGTTTCCCCCTGTCAGTGATGCAGGTAAGAGAGACTGATATGGAAAAAGCGTCTAGTCGTTCGGATGGGGCAATAAACCGAGGCCCCGTATGCTACAGGCTGTGCACGTTAAAAGTCCCTCGACAGTTGGAAATCGAAAAAGGGCAGGCTAATGCCGCTGTCCTGGCAAAATTTTCCTCATTGCACCCTGCATGGCGTTGCCCGTCCATTCATTTCATTTCATCAAAATTTCATCAAAATTTCCGGCAAATTAAAAATGTTTCGTTTCGTAGTATGAAATCTGCGATCTATAAAATAAACAATACCAATTTAAGCGCACTTTTTAGGTAGGGCAGTTGGGATTTAAAACCCACCCTCATTACTAGGTTAGACACATCCGCTGACTATTTCTGTCCAACTTGATTCATTTTAGTCAATAAGATGACATTCAAGACTAGCATTCCCTTCAGATATCTTAGACCGAAACGTCTGTCTCTATTCGGGCCTCTGATAGCTATTTGGAAAGAAATCTGGCTGGTGTTAAACAACTGTGAAAATATCCAACAGAGGCTGGATAGAGGCAGATATTTCAGGCTAAAATGGGTGATTGAGGTGTCTTAAAAATACAAACTTTCATTTCAAGATTTTTATTAAAGAAAATCTTAAGTGTTGTCCTTACTTAACACGGTTTGTACTTTTTTACTCTCTGTCTCGATATTTTTAGCTTTTTTCACGACTTGCTCACCATACTTGGGATTTTTGTGTTTTTTATTTTTATTCCTGGGAGCCAGAGCACTAGCTCCAGACTGACTTCCTGCTTTATCTCCACGGCCACGTTGGCGCTGAGAGTTCTGATTTTTCTTTACCACCACATCATTCCAAAACGGTTCCAAATTTCCTGGAGGTTGGTAACCTGGCTCAGAAGAATCTAATGGATCTTTTGACAACAGAATGAAAATTTCGGGAATATTTTTATTCATTCTTAATCTTTCCAAACCTTCCATTTTTGGTTCCCAATACTCTTCGATTTTTTTATATCTTAATTTGGAAATCTGTTGGAGTTTTTTCATTTTTCGTTTCACAATTTCAGCACAAGTTATAGTTTTCGCGATGGCGTCCCCTGAACCGTACCAACAAATCTCTCTCATAGTTTCGTCTTTCATCTTGGTCAGGGCAAACCCCATTAAATTACGAATCTTACTCCCAGTGTTGACCTTCATAGTGATTAGATCTTTTTTGTCTTCAAACGGCGATGGGCTAGGTTCTTCTTTCACTGCCCCCTTATCATAATTCTCCATCTTTTACGACAAGTTCAAGCTCAAAAACATATGAATTCTGATCCTGAAAGAAATAAGGAATTTCAAAAATGAGAATATACATGCTATCTATTGAAAAAATATTGCTTTAAGGATACTACCTTTCAGAATTGATATAAAACTTGGTCAACAAGAGTATATTCATCAGTTAGACTTACCAGGTACCATGACTAAAGAATAGAATCTCTTTATAAGATGATATATCCATTAAACTAAATAATAATTGAAACACTCTTCTAAGCATGTTTTAAAATTACTTTGTTTAATGAATTATTATTTAGTTTTATAGATTTATTAGATTATAGAGAGATTCTGTTATATTGTTATAACACCAGGTAAGTCCACTGATGAACAAAAACTCATTTTGGCCAAGTTTGAAAATTTCAATTTTTTGGTCATTCTAAACAGGCAGTGTAACTGTAACTGATAAGTACTGTTAATTTACCAAGCAAACTATTTCAGCTATTTGGTTTTATAGATCATCTTTTTTTCAGTTATAAGGTCATGAGGTCAAATATATTACCTTGAAAGGCATCCACTGTTTTTCATTTTGATTGAAAATAGGCCAAGACAGTAAATGTTATTATATATCATAACTACCATGGATTTATGATTAGCAATTGTTTGTAAGGCCTCTGTCTGGAGGGCAAACCTACCTTCACACCAGGAAATAACTAGAAAACTATATTGAAGCACTGATTCAATTAAAGCCTATGGCACTTTCACTCTAAGACTTCATGTATATTCTTCTCATATTGATAGTATTTTCTTTCTACTACTCTCTGTCTATTTCAATTGTTATTGACTTTAAAGGGATACTACGTCTTAGGATGAACATAAAATTTTAATTAAGCTAAAACTTTCAGATACATTAAAGGTCACATTTCTCCAGATTTTCGTGTATAGTCATCACAAATTTGAAAAAAAAAGAAACTGTCCCTTTAAAACTTACCCAACTGCTCGTGTTTAGGTTCATAGAAAGTCTACTCAGTAGCAGACGATAGGCCGTTTGACAGTTTGAGATCGTTCTCAAGATATAACTCGTTTTTTTACCGTGTCAGAACTTCTGTTACTTTAGTTTATACTCTAAATGAAAATTTTTCAGGCTGATTCGAAATATTTATTCTCTTCTCTACTTTCAATTTATAACCGGATGTTGACAACATGTGGTTAGAATCGCCTTAAATCGGACTTGGATTGTGACAGTTTTTATTTAAAGGAATTGTCTTGTGTAGATCGAATTCTGAATGTTCATTTTGTATTATATTGTATGAACTCAACATTTCTTTTAAAGAGTTTGCAAATTTAAAGGGACAGATTCGACATTTTCGGGGATTAATTTTAGTTTTAAATAAATTATACTTAAAGTCTTCAGAATTGTAGGCCCACGGAAATCGTAAATCAAAAAGACCCTCGAACAAGGAATTTCACTTTCTATATCTATATGTCTTTTCTATAAAGCAGAGTCTAAAGAAAAGGCGAGCCGTTTTTTAACTTTAAAAAGCGGATAATTCTGGACACAAATGGACTTGAAGGCTCAAATTTCGACAGTGAGCTGTAAACACTATTACTGATTAGCTTAGCTAAACAATTCCCTTTTCTGAGACTATGGTCTGATTGGTCAAACGGGTAGCAAACTGTTGTCCCTTTGTTTAGGCTAATGAGTTCGAGAAAATCGGCAAATGGTGTCTATTTTCCGTTTTTGTTTGGTATCATAGACTTGAACCTTTCTACCCCATTCGGCAACACTCGACAGTTTCGGTAAATCCGAATCTGTAATGAATATAGCAGACTTTGTTGTGTCTTCTTGGGCGAGACTCTTTACTTCCGGCATATTTGTCAAGTGAAAGTAATATTGCGCCTAGAATATAGTCCCTAGCTCTTGATTTGCTCGTTTGGATTTGATAAATAAAACAAGTTTAAGTCAGTAAAAATAATTTATTTAGTTTTTGGTAGTTGTGAAGAACCAGTGATCGTGGGCAGCCTGAAATAAAACAAAGACATAATGTAACGAATTTTAGCTCGTGTCAGTGGTTGGGAGGGGTGGGAG